AAGAAGGTTTTACTGGGGCCCTGGATTTGTTCCCTGCTGGCTACAGCACCAAAGCTGTGGAGCCACAGCTTTCAGGTAATGTGGGGTTTCACAGTATAAATGTGTTACCCAACACAGGCAACCCATGAGACTGTATTTAGTGCCCCAACAAGTACCCCTCCAAGGTCAGGAATTTGGGAGCTTCTCTAGGTTTCTTCCTCTTCATTTTTCCAGGAAAGATGCTGGTGTTGGACTACATCCTGGCTGTTACAAAAAGTACCAGTAATGACAAGGTAGTTCTAGTCTCTAACTACACCCAGACACTGGACCTATTTGAAAAGCTCTGCAGGAACAGAAGGTTTGTCTTTGGTCTTCGTTTGTCTAATCCTCCAGAACTGTACTTTCAGCATACACTGTAAAAGAAACTGGCTATTTTTAGAGTTTCTATCAGCAGGAACTTGTGACCTCTCTTGTACCTTAGAGAGAGATTACTGAATTGGAACTATGTGACTTGTGCTCTCTCGCTGTTGGGGGTCACTTGGCAGAAAAGCTCTGGCCCTCTGCAAAGCTCCTAAAGCCCAGCCCCTTGTTACAAGACTCTGAAAGATTTTTCTCTTACAACACTCAGGCTGTAGTAAATGTTGTGTGTTCCAGGTATTTATACGTCCGGCTGGATGGCACCATGTCCATTAAAAAGAGAGCAAAGATTGTGGAGCGATTTAACAGCCCCTCGGTACGTAGAATCTGCCAGTTGCCAGCAGCTGTCCTCCCAGTTCAGGGAGCTGCAAGTAAACGTTGGGCTGCCTCTGTTGTTTAATCCGTGCCTGCCTTTGTCCACAGAGCCCTGAGTTTATCTTCATGTTGAGCAGCAAAGCAGGTGGCTGTGGTTTGAATTTGATTGGGGCTAACAGACTGGTTATGTTCGACCCGGACTGGAATCCAGCTAATGATGAGCAGGCCATGGCTCGTGTGTGGAGAGATGGCCAGAAAAAGACATGCTACATCTATCGACTGCTTTCAGTAAGTCTGATTCCTCTCACCCCCTTAACACAGGGTTCTCAGTGTCCTCCCAGCTTGCAGCTGGTGTGATTGGACCAGAAGGAGAGAACCCTTCTGGGTCGGTGACCAGAATTGATTGGAAATTGATTGCTTCCAAGCTTAAGACATGTTACCATGGAAAACAATCAGTGTTCAAGCTGGAGGGTCGTTCAGCTGCAGGCCTTGGTTTCTAATGGTGACTGACTTCTGGGAAAATAGAAACAACTGAAACTTTCCAAATAAGATTATAAAGTGTGGGGGTGTTTTTTGTTTTGCTTTTTTTGTTTGTTTTTTATGAAGTCATTTAGGCATGTGACTTCCTTGATTTTGCAAGGTATCTGATGCTGAAGTCTTGTTTATCAGTCTGGCTACAGTGTATTGTGGTTGTGTATACATGTACGTATTAAACAGCAGCTATGTTCCCAGAATTACAGTAGCTTTTGGAACGGGGCTACCAGTTGGTAGATGAGGTAGCTGCTCTATAAATGGAAATCAGAAAAGAGACTAGCTTTTTTCAGCTAGTACTCTCTGACAAAGCGTTACGGTATGAGTAGTGTATACTCTTCACAGATGTCCCGTGTGACCATTGTTTACCTTCACCTCTCAGTAAGCTTGTGTTCCTTGATCATTTGTTATTTTACTTAAACAACGATTATTAAGTCTTGTCTTCCATCTTCTGTGCATTTGTACGTGTGTTCTTTGCCCAGCTGTTCTTTATGGTGTTCTACTTTTTCTCTGACCTGGTTACATCTGGAAGCAGAGCCCTGTTTTGCGTTTAGAACGAACAAGCCAGTCTGCAAATCTCACTAATAACTGTCCTCTTTTGTATTACATTTGCTTGCAAAACAGCCATGGATTTTTCTCGTAGATTTTACCTTAAAAATGTAGCATACTGGCCTTTAACCACATCTGTTCTAGAAGTAGTCATCTCCCTCTCGTCAGAAGGTGTGACTGATCAGTGTGTGGGTATACCAGAAAATACTGCTGACACTCGTGTCACCTGCGGCTAGCCCTTGCTGTTGCTTTTTTTCCTGAGGAGCGTCTGATTGCAGGAGAAGATACTGCTCCAGTGAAGCAAGGCAATGCCAAGCAATGATGATGATTTTATAGTCTGCCTTGTCCTTTACCAGTTGATTCTAGCAAGCAGTGCTGCTACTAGCTCCCAAACTACTGAGTCTCCCAGGCAGGGATGTAGATGAACCTTAACCAAGTGATAGAAAGGAGAATTCCTGCTTGCGGGCATTCTGGTCTTGGCAGGAATTGGAGAGCAAGTTTTTGCTCTGAGTTCAGTGGTCTCCTCCTGGCTACCACCAGGATGGTCGTTTCTTGCCTTTAAGAGCTTGTGCTGTGCAAGTGTTGCATCTTGGCAGATCCATCAGGAAGGGTTGAGAGGGCTGTAGCTGTTTGGCTCCTTCCCCTTCTATCGTCACAATGTGGTGCAGTGCGTGTGCCTCAGCCAGAAGTGGCAGCTCCATCTCTTCTCCATCCAGACCTCAGTTGGCTCCACTGCCGTGGACATGGTGACAGAAGCAGAGTTGGGTTGAATCAGTGGCCAAATGGGACATGCTTAGAGTGCAGTTACTGACCCTTACTTGTCATTCTGTACTGGCCCAGTAAGGCACTAGACGTCCTGACAGCTTACAGCCATTTGATCCGTGTCATTTTCCCAATGTAGTGGTGGTTTAATACTAGTTTCCCAACAATACTTCGTCTCTGACCATCTCTCTTGTAGACTGGGACCATAGAGGAGAAGATCTTCCAACGTCAGACCCACAAGAAGGCGCTCAGCAGCTGTGTGGTGGATGAGGAGCAGGATGTTGAAAGACACTTCTCACTTGGGGAGCTCAAGGAGCTGTTCACACTTAATGAGGCCACCACGAGTGATACCCATGATAAGTAAGTATATTGAATAATGATGGATGGGGTCAGCAAAAACCCTCTGCAGTTTAGTCTGCTGATTCAGAGGTTCCTCAAGCAGCAGGAAGCAGCTCAACAAGGGAAGGCCTTGAGTGTCTTTGCTTCTGAAACTCTTAACCATATGGAGATTAGCACTTCCTTGCTGGCCTCCTTTTTTGTTGTCTTAGAAAAGCTTTGCTAGCTGGACAAATGAGTAAACTATCTTGTTGGCTCCCTGTGTTTGGAGGTTGTAAAATACTGCAGCTAATGAGAGGTATTTGCCAGAGCTGTCCAGGCTGGTGGAGCCCAGCTTGGTCCTTTGGCTGATTTGCCTTTTCCCCAAGGGCCAGAATGCTGAGGTGCTTCTTCTGCCAGGGCTATTCTACCTGTCCTTAAGAATTAGTGAGGCCAACCTGAGTGCTGCTATGGGGACTGAAAAATCTTATGTTGCCCCTTTTTCTAGACCTGTGGTACTGTAGCCATCAGAAAGAGGACAGAGAATACAGGAAAATGCTTCACTGAGAAAGTTAGTGAGGCAAGAAATGAAGAGGATTAGCTTTAAGCTGACTTGAAGCTTAGCTCTGTGTAGGTGTCTTTTCTGCATGGCAACAAGCCTTGCTGGCAGGCTGCCGCTGCTTGTATCCTTGTGCAGCAGGTCAGCTGTGCACCTCCAAGACAGCTTGAGCCCAACCTGGTCATGGTGGTTGTGGTGGGAGCCAGGACAGAGCAGGTCAGAGCATTTTGTACTACCTTGAGCTCAGGAAGCCTGAGGTAGTGCTGAGAATGCATTAGTGGTGGGGGCTTGGCGTCTGCTCTGAGCAACACCCCTCACCTTTCAAGAGAAACTCATCCTGAACTGCCTCTGGGCCCTGCTGGCTCCTTTCTCTCCTTTTGGATTTGGGTTGACTTCCAGCAGCTCATTCCCACGTGGCTAAACAGGGAGGGAGAGCACCATTAGAAACAAAGCCCCAAGGTTTCCAAAACAGCTATGATTCTTTACACATCTGTCACATACCATAGGGTATTTGTGGGTTTAAATGACATATGGTAGTGATTCAGCCTCCCTGAAAATCCAGTGGCCAGTATTGTAGATGAAGAGGGGCAAAACCAGATGTTGGTTAGCCACATTTTTAAACGATCCATAAACCAAAGAAGTGGAGAAAGGGCCTTGCACCATTTCCTGACCGGCTCTCTGTTCCAGGATCAAGTGTCGTCGCTGTGTAAATGGCCACCAGGTACGGCCTCCTCCTGAAGGGTCCGACTGTACCTCTGACCTCTCCCAGTGGAACCACTGCGCTGATAAGCGGGGACTGCAGGACTCTGTGCTAAAGGCTGCTTGGGATGCTGCCATCACCTTCACCTTCCATCACCACTCCCATGAGGAGCAGCGAGGGATTCTCTAACAGGCCACTATCGGCTGTGGGTGCAAGGGTAGGCTCCTGTGGCAGCCTACACTGCTATAATGCCCTTCATGACAAGGGACAGCGGACAGCAGGACATGCTGGATTGTAGCGTGACTCTGGAAGAGCAGAACAGTGTGTTGTCTGAGAAGTAGGAAGGCCTCTGGGGTTGGGCAGGGTCTGCTTGCTACTGTACTGTGTGCCTGGAAAACAGCCCTTTAGGAACCATGAATAACCGGACTGCATGTCTTGATCAGCACTGGTTTTCATGCTGTTGGTGCCTGTGCCTTCTACTCAGCCAAGTTCTGCCTTCAAGTTTAAGTTAAGCCTGCAGCTTTAGAGCAGATGATGCACACAGTCGCATTTTTTTCCCGGACAGCTATGGCTTACGGCTGCTGAGCAGAAATGGGCAGGATCCATTTCTGTTGTAAAATGTGAGCATTGCTACTTGCTCAGGAACAAGAGGATTCATACAAAAAAACCCACTTCCACTCGTACTTCAAACATCTGGCCTGAAAGAACATTCAGGCAGTAGGAAATCAGTCCTTAGTAAGGTCGTGCCCTTTCCAAAACCACTTGCTGTATTTTGGGCAGGATCCCCTGATCAAGCAGTGTTTTAATTAATCTACTTACAATGCAGTAATAAAATTCACACTTTGGTACATTATGGGTCTTAATTCTACTTTTATTATAAAAATTTTACAAAAGAACACACTTCTACTTCTGTAAAATGAGTGCACATACTGAATAGGGGTGAGAAGAATTTTTGTCCCAAAAACTAATCAATGATTGCAAATAAACAGCAGGCTATGTTTGATGTAATTTCTTTTTTTCCTCAAAGTAAAGTTTTTCCAAATACAAGAGGTCCAGGCTCAGATTTTCACCTAGCTTGCTTATTTTCTATTGCCTTTATATGGAGGGATTCTTATTTATTGGCTGAAACAACAATAAATTCTTAATTTACACCGAGTGTAGTTAACTGCTTGTTCAGAAACCTGCAGCACGTCACAGAAATTTATTTGAAGTGTCTGCCCTGGTTTAAGTAGCCAATTTGGGAAGAGGATGGAGTTGGACAACCCTGAACTGCTGATCTGCAGCACTCTTTCAAATCAACAGAGAAGTGATGAAAAACACTGTACCCCTGCTTGGACCAGGGGGAGAAAAAAAGCCCACCAGCACTAAGAAATAAATTTATTAGCCATAGACTGAACTGCTTTAGTACAAGCTGATCAGTTTTCTCTTGTTCATGTGTCCATCACATGACACTGATGTAGTCAGCGAAGGCCTGGGAGGAGTCCCACGTGTCATTGACCACGCTGCACACAGCTTTGAGACGCCGAAGTGCTTCTTGAGCTGTTTCGACATCCTGGTCCAGCCAATTTTGAAAGAGGCGGAGGTGGGTGAATTTAATGTGTCCCCCTCTCTGCTGGATGTGTCCTTCCAGCTTCTTTGTGAACTCCAGAAGCCCATCAGGTTTGATGCAATTTGAGCTTTCCAGGGAAAGGATGACAGGGGAAAAAAAAAAAAAAAAGTCAGTAAGGGTATAGGGTATAATTTAATTAGTTTCAATTTCTGTTCCCTCCAGTAAATGCCAATGCAAGTATTCTGGAATGTTTCAGTGCAAAGTAAATTAGGAGGTTTAAACCTTCAGCAATACAGAGTCAGAATAATCCATTAGTTTTGATGCAAAACAAAACTGAAGCCCAGTTATGGTAAGGGCTGGAAGTTATTAAAAGTATTTTAACTATGCTGGGAACCACTGACAAGTTAAACTCAGTTGCCTGGCCTTATTACCAGTGACTTGAGTAGAGCTAGTTGTGGGCCTTGAAATCCCAGGCTCTTAGCTAAGCTGTGTTCCCCAGTCTCTCAGCAGCTGGCAGGTGCCTGGACTAAGAAGTCTAGCCCGGCCCACAGGCCCCAGTGCCAACCTCAGCAGTAAGCGATCATTTATCTTCCCCCTTGTGAGAGCATCTGGAGAGCAGGTGTCAGGTCCCAGTATTCCAGGAGATTAAAAGATCACTTGCCCTGCACAGATGTGTAAATAAATATGAAGTTGAATGCTGGACTTAATTTTGTGAGAAAAACAAAACCAGCCAGTTGGAGAGAGAGCTTCATGATTTAAGGCTGCTAAAGAAGAGCCCATGGTCAAATTAAGTGTCGATGCTATGTACATCAGCAAGCCAAGTCCTAAGAATGTAACAAAATGTGTCCTTAAGGAGGAGGGGGGAAAAAAAAAGCTAAACTCAGTCATTAGTATTACAGAAATACGAGGCCCCATGCCCTCATGAAAGAGATTGTTGTCTATGTTTGTAACCATTTCCACTCAGAGAAGAGCAGTTTAGGTTAAAGATCAGAGAGGATGAGAAGAACACAGAGGAGGAGTTCATTACAGGGAAACAAGAGCACTCTCAACAGGCTGGGACAGCAGTGGGAACAGAGCTATTCAAGCTGATGCTCAAGAATAAATGTATATAAGGACATTAGTTCTAACCCTCAGAGCAGGGAGGGTCTGCAGCAGCCTCTTAAGGGAGCAGAAAACCAAAGCTGCTTTTAAGATGAAGTTTGACTCATTTGTGAAAGAGACAGTGTGATGCCTCAGAGGGCCAGGCCTGCCCTTGGTGACTCTTGGGAGGTCCCCAAGGTGGTAGGTGCCTATTACACAAGTTCTCTAAGCTTTTCTTGGGGACATATTCCCTTGGAGAAGGAACAGAATTGTGCTCAGGCTTCTCCTGCTGTCTGAATCCACTTCAGCTCTGGCCTCCTGAAACATGAAATTCAGTGCGTTTAGGGCAGCAGAATACCTGACATCCAGCTGGCAAAGAGAAGAGGAGGAATCTTCAGAGAAAATGTCTGCAAGGGCAACCAGCCTGTGATTCCCTAAGTGGGGGGAAATGCAGGTGTTACATACAAGCTGCAAATTATCCTCAGTATTTAAATTAACAGTACGCACCAAGGCGATTCCCAGGCAGTTTGAGGCTCTTCAGAGATGAGTTTCTCTTCACTGTATTGATTATTTCTGACAAAAACTCAGTAGTGCAACTTTCAAACAGCCGGCAAAAGGAGAATGTGATTTCTACAGAAGAAATGGATTGACAGTACATTTTAGTACTCTCTGCACACTTCATTATTCCATAATTACATCCTGCAGATGGCTCCAGCCTCTAATGCATATGCAAAACCAAAGCTTCCCTGCGGCAGGCACCAGGTTACAACATGCTCGCAGTGGGTAGCATAGGACAGTGCCTCTGTTTTGTTACCTGAAGACAGCAGTGATCACACCCTGGAAGGTGGTTTAGCCAGCTGACCCAATTAAAGGCAGACACGCTCTGCAGGTTCAAAACCTTTTGTTTTATTAGCCAAGACTAGGGACTCCTCTCTGCAGCACAGCCAACTTTGCATCTGCTCCTCTCCCTGCTCTGCTGGCTCAGAGAAACAGATACAGTCCCACTCTGCCAACAGCTACAGATCTGCCCTGGGGCACTGGCATTTGGCTAAACCTTGTACATCCTAAGATCACCTATTAAAACATCAGCCCACCAAAAGCAGCCACCTGCAGAGCAGCCCAGAGCAGCTTTTCAAGCACCAGTGCCTAGGAATTTCCGTACCTTGCAGGATGGGGTCCTGAAGCAAAAGCAGAACTTCTTTCTGGTGGTCAGCAAGGTTCACATCATGAAAGCTCAGTTTCTTCAAGTTTGGATTGCACTCTGAAAGGAAGACAAGTTCCTGGATAAAGCACTGCATGGCCTCGGACTAAAAGGAACCTGACACAATTGCCTGTTAACACTCAGACATTGATTGGACTGTGAATAAATAAAGAGGGAACAGCCCGCTGTGCAGGATCATTCACGTGCTGAATGATCAGCACAAAGTGGGATGGCTGACACCCAATTCCTTTTCTCAACTGACTTCAAGGATGTCCACATGGAAGAAAGGGACCCACCTGAGCTGGCTCCATGCTAAAAAGGCTGAAGGACATGGCAAGAGCCCAGAGCTTACATCCAGGAGGTTCAGGCGCCTGAGCATCTAAGTACTCCCAGCAGATGTGCCCTAGCAGCTTGGGTGCAGAGCCTCATAAATGCAGTAGAATTGCTTCCAGACTCAAGCTGAACCTGGCCAGCTCAACAGCAAGCAGGAAATGGGGGTGTCTGCATCAGGCTCTAGCAGAGTCTAAGCCAACTAAAAAGCAAGCAGTGAGGCTCCTAGGATGGGCAATCACAGCAAGGGGGCTACTCTGTCTGTTCCAGCAATGCTACACACGGTTTAGCACAGTACCTCTGAGTGCCTGCAAAAGATGCTCAAGCTCCTGAGGACAGGGCAGTGCAGCGCTGTCAAGGGACAACTGCTGGAGAGACCTTGATGCCTTCAGCACCGGCAGCAGGAACGCAGTGTGCAGAGGTTCCCTGGGGAATCGGATTTCCAGCTGCTCCAGGCAGCTCTCTAAGGGAAGAAAACCAACATTGAAAGAGCTCAGTCTGGAGTACCTGTCCTCAGTAAAGCTCGCTGGAACAAGCAAGAAGCCTAGCTGACATGGCTATCATTTAAACCGGTAGAAAGTGCCTGTGCCGAGCCTCCTGCCCCACAGAGCTGTACGGCAACACAGACTTACGATAACTTTAAATCACTGAAGGCCCATTTCAGGGGAAATGACCACGGGGCCACCAATTTCTACCATGTTCTGGTAGCGAAACGCTACTTTAGAAAAGTTCACCATCTATCCACAAACCAGTCAGCGTCCCCCAGAGCACAGTCTTCACTGGCCTCACTTGATACTGACTCAGGCTTTGGTTTCTGCTTTTCTGTTCTGTTCAGGGGCTAACAAGAGTGATGAGACACCTCTGAGCTGAGAACACCCTGCTACAGTTCCCAGATAGTAACCCAGAGGCCTGGAAAGTGTTTTGCCATTACCTCTGGTATTGTGATGATCGAAAGATACTTTCCCTCCGCTCAAGGGTAGGTAGGCCAAAGCTGTGTAAGGCTTAGAGCATCATCAACAATAGGATGGACAGAGCAGAAACTCCTGAACAATTTAAAGGCCTGGTGAGATATGCTCCCTGCAGGCTGCATGGACAGCCATTACTAGCAGGTTCTGACTGGCCTTGTGCAAAGCAAAAATATACTTTGTCCAAGACTTGGGCTCCAAGGTCCATATGAAAGACTGGAAACGACAAACTGCAACACTATGTAAACTAGGAAGGTGAGGTTGTAATCGCCTAATTGCATGTCACTTGGGACTCTGTGGAATTCAAATCTTTTGCACCAAGCTTTTACAGCTCTAACAGCCACATCTTGTTCATCGCTCAAAATCTGTTTCCTACCTGGGATTTCTGCCTCCCTGCAGCTTGGATTCCCTTCTGGTCTGTTCCCCTCCAGCTGGTTTTTGAGATCGAAGCTGACTGAGAGCGTATGGAGCCGGGGAAAGGCACTCAGGATGCAGCGAACAAGGTCCATGCAGGGGATGTGAGAGAACACGTCGCTCACACGCACCACGTGAAGGCAGCAGTCTGAGTGGCGGGAGAGGGCCCGGAGCCCAGACAGGAGGCAGAAGATGTTATCTCCCAGGCCTGGAACCAACATTTTTACAGAAAGCAAGACTGGTGTCACACACATACAGAATCATAGCTGAAACACACATGGCTGGAGCTGACATCAACAGTGGAGCTTTCAGTTTAGTGCCCAGCCAAGCAGCTGAAGCCAAGGGCTAAATCCACAAAGTGCCAGAGGAGAAGAGGGTTTCTGCTACATATGTTTTATCCACAAGTTCTTAAGCTAGAGCTTAAGAGGGAGATGGAGATTGGGTTCTTCCCCTGCTCAAGAAAGCCTATGAGCACAGGGCCATGGGCTGTTCTGGGCAGAAGGGCCCCATTCTCTCCTGCTGGCACTTCCCCTCTTAGTACAAACAATTACTGGAACAGAGACCAGCATGCAGACTTCCAGTTCTCCTAGGAAGCAGTAGGAACGCTGCCATCGAAATCACTTGGAACTGTCTAGCGCACTAACCCAGGGATATTCAGATCTCAGGCTGTGTTCAGGGTAAAGACCGTAAGTGTGTTTTGCCTGGACTTCCTCACTTCGAGTACCTCCCATATGCCTGTGGGGCATCCTGTATTTCTTGCTGTACCGTCTCTTCCGGGCAGGTAGGAGGACTGGATGCAAGGCCGAAACTGAGCATTGCCTCCTGTTGGTAAAAACTAATCCGGTAGCCTTTCACTAGATCATAAATAAAGAGGGAAATCCGTATCACAGGAATGAATGGACCAAAACGTTTTCTAAGGAACAGAATTTATGCAGTTAGTGTTTGGCTGGAAGCGTTTGGCTCTGATCTTTCATACAGATCACCACTTGCAAATGCAAAACCAGTAAGTCACAGATTCCTGTCCTGACCAGTGGACATTCAAGATCATCACAACTCTGCTCTTTTCCGTTCAGTACCCTTAGAACTTGCTACACCTCATTCGCTACATTAGTTGATTATCGGTCTCCCATTCCATTACCTGTCCCACAGTGCAAGGGTTTTCCTCCCACATGAAAACACAGCATGAGAGAATCCACCTGCCTGGGAAAACTGGCAGGCTTAGGGTGGGCCTGTCACACTTCCCCATACGGAAGTTGGACCCGGTATTTGAACAGAGTTTGCTCTGTGTTCCGTTTTGTCTCCTAGCCACATCACGCGCCCTTGAGATCCTACTGAGTTTACATCCTGTTCCTTTCTTTTCCTCATCCCTCATAGGCTGTGCAAATCCGTGTTTTCATCTCAGCACCATTTCCTCCAACACATAACGGCCCTTCTCTGTCATTCCTGACTGTCCTTCTCCCCTCAAACGACTCCTCACACTCATTATATGTCTTTGCGAATGCCATTTTCGGGACTAGTTACTCTTAAAATGCTCATTCCAGTGAAAATAAACAAAAGGAGGGTAAACCTGAGCAGTAAGTCCCACTATTAAAACAAAGCTGGAAGAAAGCGTCCTGTTCATACAACTAACCATTGTAAGACAGAACCAGGTTTTCTAATGACACCCAGGAGCTCAACAGGTTACTCAGAGTCCGACATGTGTCGCCAGTCAAAGGAACGGAGAACAATTCCAGTGTGGACACACTTCGGAAGCGGTGAGCAGCTTTCAGAGAAAAGATCCCAGCAGATCCTCCTCGTTTCTTACAGCCAGCACTGCTGGAGCACGGAGAACCTGTGGAGGAACTAGTCCAGTTATCTGCACTTTCGCCTTCTGCGACAATGTTTTTATGCAGCAACTCTGAAGCATTCTCTTTAGCAATAGTAAAAACAAAATCATAAAGGTCTTCTGGGTTATCATACGTCCCCCTGCTTTGCCTAGGGCAGCGGCGTCTCCTCCCTACCGCAGATTTCAGACGTCTACGTGGCTTTCGAAGAACGGGGTGACAGGACAGCCTTCCTGAGAGGCAACAAGAAGACCCTCCAGGGGGGTCTTTAACACCGGTGGGGTCACAGGACGCCTCACTGCTTCCCTCCTCACATACGAGGTTTTGGGAAGGATGACTCCTCAGTCCAGAGAAGGCTGAGCTCTGGGGAGCGTCAGCCCCGCATGCATTCGCTTCTTCTTGCGTGTCAGCCTCCTCAAGCACTCTGGGGGAAGCCTGCTGGTTCTCACCATTGCTCCATTCCCTCTCATCGCAACGGCCCATCTCTGATGGCTCTTGTGCGGACTCCTGGCTTTGGGCGTTGCCCACTCTGCAAAAGCCACAAGGGCTGCTGTGATACATAAGCCCCTTTCCTGAGTGCCAATACCCAGCACTCACGCTCAAGATGAGAATGAGAAGAACTGTGTCAGGAACAGGCCAGGAATACATGGACACTTGGCTGACAGAGCCATGATGAATCAGCCGGTGAAGAAGTAAAACCAGCAAATGTCTGATAGACTGATCAGAGGAGAGCAGATGCCGAAACTTCAGTATCCGCAGGGAGCCAGCGAGGTTTTCAAGCACCCTTTGGTTACGTTCAGCAGTGAGCTCAATCACCCCCTGCAGCATGTTGCAGAGAGTGAGCTGGGTAACGTGCTGTGAGCTGTGGAGCAACGGTGAAAAATCATTGTCGTTGAGACGCCAGTCAGAAGAAACATCCAACACGCCATGAAGAACGTTTGAGAAGAATGTTTCAAGGAACTTCTTCCTCCAGCAGGTTATATTCTGCAATTACATCACCTTAAGGTTAACCAGGACAAAATGCATTCAACAGAGCCACGTTAAGAGAAAGTCATCTAAGATCCTTCTCATTCCAAATCAAATTATTGCTCTCTGCTAAGCTTCTAGTAAATATGGCCTCAAATAAAACTACCACTAGCACAACTGAAACTGCTTTCCTAGTCCACAACATTCTTCTTCAGTATGCTTGTTCAAACACTGAATTACTCTCACTGCTATCTTTTCATTCTGCTTCTAGCTTAATTTAATACATTCAGCAGTTTGAAGGTGAAGCTAAATTATTAAAGAATACATTATCAAAAATTTTCTTCCTGGCTGTCTATTTATAGACTGTGGTTAAATTGTCTCCTAACCATTCTCTTGTTATGCCAAATCAGTGGAGCTTCTTCAGTTCTTCTATGTAAAGAAAACTCTTCCAAAGCCAGGGCATTTGCTTTGTGCTCCTTCTCCACTCCCCATGAGTGGCTTTTCCTCACCTCTGAGTTGGGTGGCCTGGTTTTCATCACATCATCCCAGAGCTTGCGCCAGATTGGCTGCGTTGAGAGGCCTGAAAAAAGAAACTAGGTGCCTTTACTTCTTCTTCCCAGCCTCAAGTCCTTCTGCAGACTGTCCCTCCTTGGGGTTCATATGTGCATTTGGGCAGATGAGGGAACAGCTTTCTAGGGAGAAGCAAATTCAGACCCCTAGAGCAGAAGGAAGTTGTTTTACATTTGTTATGTAGGATGTGACAAGGTAAAAAACACTGCCTTTTAACAGATAGGACTTCAAAAATGGCTGTTTTTGCTGGTCCTCAAAAGAAGCAAATTGGTGAGCCAAGAGAATTACAACACACCCCAAAATTCTGTAAAAACCTCACCTGCATCCATGACTGGATTTTGGACCGGAGTAGCGACCTTTCCTGCCGGATTTCCATGTGTTTGCGATGAGGTGGCAAAGCCAAGCTACTGGTGTCCCAGGCAAGGGCTATAATTGCGCTCTTTGGGTTCATCCCTCCAGTTTAGGGTTTATTTTCCAGTTTGCAAGGCTTTCTCCCTCTGCTTTCAGGGAGTAAGGAAGGGGGGGGGGGGTCCCCTCCAACTTGGCTGGGGAGAGGGGTGCTTTTGTCCTTTGTGTCTGGGGTTCATTTTTCCAGTTTGCAGGGGTTTGTTCCTCCAGCTGAGGGGACCTTCCACAGTTTGGGGGGGGGGGGGG